AGTGCCGCTCTCCAGCGCAGGCGCCCAGACATTCGGCCTCAGCCCCCTCTGTGCTCCTAGGAGGCCCCCAGTCTTTTTCTCATCAAGCTCCCAGGCAAACCTCCCCCTCACCCCCTCCCCATGCTCCACCTCTCCACACACACCTGGTACCCTGGCCCCATCACCCACTTTCCTACACGCCCAGGGATGTCCACACCCCTCCCCTGCTTCACCTTCCAGCTGCCCCCAACTCAATCCTGGGAAAACTGTTAAAAAATAATTCTCTGCAAAATGGTAAAATCATGACTCTCATACAGACATAAAAATGAACATGTTAAAGATTTCATTTAACTTACGAGGGAACAATTTTATTTTACTCATGAGGGACCAGGAGATGTTATAACCAGTTCAAAGGAGAATCCAAAAAACAGACACGTTTATGGATGAGTGATATTGAAACAAATATGCAAATGGAGGCAAAACTTGCCTTTTCACACAGTGGGAGGGCAGACCATTGAAGCTTTACCAGACAGTCCAGAATGTGCTCATATACGGACGAGAATGATCTGCGTGGCTGTCAGTTGCCTACAAGTGCAGAGATGCGAAACAGCTCAAACACCGTGCGAGGCTAGACTCAGGTACCTGGAGGGGTGTGCTCTAGATTAAGACAGCTTTCTACTGACACACAGATCTTGTTTTCTCCACCCTGGGAACACAGAAGCCCCTCACCATCCCCCTGCTCCTTCCAAATTTCCCAGGCTTTCTCCAACCCCAATCTGCTGCCCCCACAGTGACCCAGCACCGTTTTAACACTGAAGGTCTGCCTTGTGCCCACAAGGCCCGGCTTGGGCTTGGCGGCGACACTTCCCATGCCACATGGGTGTTCCTGGGAACAGCATGGTGTGTGCACACAGCGCTGAGGCCTCCACTCCTCTGTGAACAGCCGGTGATGTTTGGGTGATTATAGCTCTCCAACCCAGTCATTAGCCATCTGCCCAGCCACCCATCCCTTCTCTCCTGTTGCAGTCCCACCTCCTGTGTTTTCAGTATTTTTTAGGGAAGGGTGGCGTTCTGTTTCTTGCTGTCTGTTGACAATATTCATTGAGAAGATACTGTTCAAGTTACTGTTTGCTGCCTGTTCCCCCTCAAAGCACACGAGAATTTACTCTACCCTAAAAAAGATTATAGGCACCTCAGCCAGAAAGCAAATAAACATTCTCACAGTCTGTTGCATGTGCTTGGGCCCTCCCTCTCTCGCTCTCTCTCTCTCTCTCTTTCTCTCTCATGCTCTCTGATGCTTTCTCTCTTTCTCTTCCTGATTCTCCCTCTCTTCCCCTCCTTGAGTTTCTGTATCTGTCTTTCTTTCACACACGCAAACACATATGCACACATCTCATACAAGAGCACATATAAAATTACAGGTAAGGATTTTGAAATACAACACAAAGTGAGTACAAAGAAGTGCTGAGAAGGAGCAGTGTGGACAGGCTGGAGTCGCCTGGGGTGAGGACTCCTGGCCCAAGGAGCAGCCCTTCTCTGAGTTGCGTCTGGAGCAGGCACAGTGCAGAATGCTGGGGACGCTCGGCCAGTGGTGCCTTCAGCTCCTCGGAGGAAAAAAAAAAACAAAACCCCAAATCATCATGAGAGGAACAGAAATGGAAATGAGGCATCTCTCTGGTTTTATCTGAAACAGGGATGTGTTTTTAAAAGCTTCGCTTACCTCGGCTTGGTGATGAATTCTAATGGCCTCAGCCCAATTGCCTCCGCACACACCCCCCCACCCCCGCGGAGGCGTGACAAAGCGCTCTCCTCCGAGATGCTGTTATTCCAGTAGCGTCTCTCCAACAATGGAGCACGCAGGGCCTTGGAACCAGTTCCCGGATTTGTGAATGAGGCGATGGGGCAAGGGAGCCACAGACAAAGCCCAAACAGGCACTAGGCTGGGAGGGCACCCCTCGGTGTGTGTGGGGTGGTGACAGGGCAGGGCAGAACTTTCTGGCCACCTTGGAGGTGTGGAAGGCAGACTGATGAATAACAGGTACCATTTCCCGGCTGGCATCACTGTGCTTCGCGCACGGCAGGTGCGTAACAAATATTTATTAGATGAGTAATAGCAGCAAATACTTTCTCAGCACTTTCCACGAGCCGGGCACTGTTCTAAGTGCTTTGCTCACATAAACTCATTTTATCCTCCCAACAACCCTGTGAGACAGGTGCTGCGACCCTCCCATTTTACAGATGGAGAAGTCAGGCAGAAGGAGGTTAAAGTGTCCGAAATCAAACTCGGAGAGACAAAGCAAGAATGTGTGTGCCTGTGGAGCACGTGCTGGCTAGGAGCTTACCTTCTTCACGTCATTCAGTTCTCCCAGCAATTCTATGAAAGAACATCATTGTCTCCATTTTGGAGTGAAAGAAACTGAAGCTCAGAGAGGTTAAACCATTTCCTAAAGCCTCACAGCTAACAGGACCCAGGATTCAAACCAAGGACAGTAGACGCAGCGACTTAGTCCTCCCCGCACTGCCCGCTCCAGTGAGTTGTCAGGCTGTCAGGAAGCAGGCTGCCAGCATCCAGGGTCGTCCTGTATGCCAGCTGGGTCCCAAGTGACAGGTCCCTGACAACCAGCATCACAGTTGGGGGGTCGGCGGTGGGGGGGGCTGTAGAGGGGAGCAAAGGCCCCATCAGCCCCCTTCCAGTCATCTGGGGGTCCACCATTGGTGAAGACAGCAGTGCGCCCTTCCTCTGAACGGGATCAGGGGTGACAGGCCTGCAAAGGGGACAGGGACTCCAAGAGGAGGCAGCTGTGGAGTTTCTCCCATCCTGGAACCAAGGGAAGAGGAAAGACCCCGGGTCAGGGTGGGAGGCAGACAAGGGGCACTGGGGGACTGGGATCCAGACCATTTTATCCCATGTGTGCTGGACCTCTCGACCCTGAGAGGGCCTTAGTCATACAAAGATCCATTCTCTCAGAATTTTCCAAGACTTTTTTCTCTCTTGCTTTTTTAGTGTAATTCATTTCTGTCAATTATTTTTGTTTACAGTAACAAAATATTGGAATAATCCAACTTACAATAATAAGAGAGTAGTTAGAAGTCCAAGAATTGGTGGACTGTTTATAGAAACTGTGCTAAGTTATGAACAGATGTGCATGGAGTGATTTCATTTTTGTAGAAAAAAGTACATGTGCACATGCGCACGCATGTGTGTGTGTGTGCTGGTGTGTGTGTAGAGAGAGAGAGAGACAGACGGAAGGAACTCAAAGATCTACACCAAGGGAATACCTGGTAAGGTATTCACTGAGTTCCCGGGGAAACTGGGATTTAGGAGTTCTCGTTCTTTATTTTCTTTCATTTGCCTGTGTTTTGTGATTTTTCTGTGATGAGGATGCATTTCTTATAGAATGAGACAAAACAATAAAGAATAAAATTCTATTGTTGAACATTTAATTTGTACCAGTTGACCCCCTATTTTTAAACATTTATGTCCTTCCTGCATTTTGTCATTAGAAACAATATGGAACCAGGATTATTGGCAGACAATGAATAAGAGATAAAACATAAAATAATGAAAAATTGTGAAAGTTGTCCAAAAGTGTATGCATGTGCAAAGCAGTTGTCAAATGTCTCATGATGTAACACAATTACTAGTGCTTGAAAGAATGTTGACTGGAATATAAGCAGATATTGGTTTTGACCAAATTCTTCTCTGAAATTGTCAGCTGACTTGCTTTTTGAACCCAAGTGTAAGCCCCAGGTTTGGTGAGAGGAGGTGGTTCCCCTTGTTTGTCCCTCGTCGGCTTCGTTCTTTCAGCCACTGGCCACCCCTGCCTCTTGCTCTGTCCCTGTGTAGCCCCATTCTTCCATGTCTGATTTCCCACCAAGCTTTTGCAAAAGGCACACAGGCTCCCAGCATGTGCCGCCTGCTTCCACCACTAATTCATGGTAGGACTTGGGGCTCCTCCCCAGCTTCTTCTAGGAAACTGCAAGGACTTTTTTTGTTGTTGAAAGGGCAGGGATTTGAAATCTCATGTGAGGCAAAGCCTTATAGCACGTAAAACAGAAATTTCACTTCATGGACTTTTATAGGAGTAACACTTTCAGGGTTATCAGTGAGTCTGCCATACTGGAGGCGTAAGGCCATCCAACTCAGGCCATCTCAGAATAAGCCTATTGTCCCCTCTCCCTTCCTGGGCGCTATCACTCCTGGGCCCCTGGAAACTAGGCAGCTGCTCTCCTCTGGCCTGGGTCTTAAATGCTGGCAGCCCCGGAGTGAAAATCAGCCACAAACCCAGCCCCTCCTCCCCTCTGAGCCCTTCTCCTCCAGAGGGGTGCTTTTCCCTTGGCTCCTTCACTCCACATGGGAAATTCAAGTATTTTTTTGGTCCTGTTGGGGAAATAAAACAATCCTGCCAGGAAAAAGACCTCTTGGGACCAATACAGAAGAGAGAGCAGATACAACTTATCACTGGGTAAGAACTAACAGACTCACACACATGGAAGGCCGCATGAAAGTGGCTGTGGAGTCTGGACAGAATCTCACAGGAATTTATGCAGTAAAGTAGAAGAAGGAGCAAGGAAAACTTTGCCTATCTCCTTGAGAGACAAATGGGTGGGCCTTGTGATGGGCGGCTGTACCCTTCAGTGACTCCTGAGTTCATTTCCATGGTATGTGTCTATAGTCCCAAGAGTCAGAAGGCCTTCAACCTTGCATTATAAAATCAAAAAGTCGGACCTCTTCTCAGGCCTATTATGTTTTCAAGAAGACTCCCTAAGAAGAGGGCAGTGGGAGTAGGTGCCTCTCTCCTCGAAGAAAGTATCCTTATTTTACCCTTACAGTCCCTTCTGAAAAATCACCTGTATTATTCCCCAAATCCACCTCCTTTTCAACAGAACTTCAACAGTGATCTCTCCTCCCTTTTCACTTCGTGCATCACTTGGTGGGAACTCATACAGTGCATAGGGCTTACCAAAAACTTCATGTTCACTATCCCAGTTGATTTTCACAACCCGGGGAGGTGGTTTATCATCTTTATTTTACTGATGCCGAAACAGACTAAGCAACTCTCATAAACTTGGTGTGCGGGGAGCTGAGACTTGAACCCAGGTCTTTGATATCAAATCTCTCATCCTTTTCACCCTGTAAGAACATATTGCCAGGACATTCTAATGCAGAGAAAGAAAGAAAGGTAATATAAGAAGAAGAGGAAGTTGGGAGGGGCCTTTTATATTTCTTTAGTATATGAACACTGTGCCACATTCTAGAACAGACCTGTCCGATGGAACTTTCTGTGAGGACGGAATGTTCTTTACTTGAGCTGTCCAATGTGGCAACTACAAGCCACAGCCATGTGTGTACAAGGATACTTGAAATGTGATAGTGTGACTCAGGAATTGACTTCATAATTTTATTTCATCTTAATTAATTTAAGTGTGAATTTTAAAAGCCACATGTAGCGAGTGGCTACCATGTTGGACAGTACAGCTCTAGAACGCAGAACCCTGCTAGATGCATCTCGAAATATCACCGAGGCCAGTAACCAGCGGGCCCGGTTTGCCTCAGCTCTCGGCGTGAAGGTCTCGCAGATGTCAGCTGCCTGGACATCCACATGAAGCAGGCTGCCCCTCGGGAAAGAGAACACATGGGTTCAGAGAGGTGTTGGCTGCACGGGCCCTTCTACAAGCTGGCGTGGGCTTGGGCTGCGCACTATGTGTGGTGGGGCTCTGCTCCCCCGACAAGTCCTGGCCGCTGTCAGTTCATGATCATTTTAGAGAGTGTTTAGTTTCCCTCCACTCCTTCTCTTCCAACTGCCCTTCCCCAAGCCCAGAGCACAGCGGACATCCCAAGGTTGCCCCCTCAGGTTTGCCAGGACAGCTTCATCGGAGAATAGAAATAGTCATTCGCCTGCTCAAAGTCACGTCAGGACAGAGCTGAGAGAGAGCTTCAAAATCATTTTTTCAAAGCCTTCTGTTTTACAGCTGAGAGACCAAGGCCCGGAGAGGTGACCAGTACTGTCCTTGGCCTCTTTGCCCAGGACACTGACCCACTGAGCCCACAGATGGGGCAGGAACACGTGTGCAAGCGAGAAGAACAAGAGCCATCTGGCCGAGGTTAGGCACTCCTTCTGCCTCATCGTGTCCATACAGTAATTTCCTAAAATTGAAGATGAGTAAGGGGTATGTTTGGCAAAGAGAACAAAGTTTTCAATCTTTTAACTGCCAACACACACATTTAGGTCACTTATTGGTAAAAAAAATTTCCATCCTGTTCTTAAAGATTATCTGTAATATAATTCTATTTTTATAAATCCCCCTTTGCACAGAGATTAGGCCTAGCTTTTATAAACAAAAATTCTTGGAGCATATTTATTGATTGAATGGCACTCCATATACATTTTTGAGGAGAGTAACTACTAATAATTTTAATCCTTTTCCAAGCAGAAAATCCTTCTTCACATCTAACTTCACTGTTTTCTTCCCTCTAACTCAGCATGCTATGCTGAGTTCGTAGCCAAGCCAGATGGACAAGTCATGAGCAGGCTACATTTTTCTAAGAATATATAAACTATATCTGGCAGACTCTGTTCGAGGTCCAAAGTTCTTGGTTTTAGGTATGGCCATGCAGATCACACCAGACTTGAAGTGAGAGCTGTTCACCTGATTTGAAACACTGCAGATAACAAACTGTTGGGCGCCACTGAAATGTATCAGGGAATTTAGTTGCAATAAAAACAGTCAAAATGAATCATCTTCAAGTTCCAACAACCAGGAAACAGACATGTCAGTAAGGTGGGTAGTCAAGGCCCCCATGGGTATTAACATCCCACTTTTAATGACACCGTAAGAGCACGTGGCCCCATTTCTCTCTATAATTAGAGCTAATAAATATCTTCAAGTGGATATTTATGGCAGACTTTGGAAATATTAACCTATTATTACTAGAGTTATGATGTTCTGAATTTCAGTGTGAAAAATGCAGCCAAAGCCTTGCTCGTCTCAAAAGGCAAATGTAGCAAAAATTAATCCTATGGGACTGTTGTCTGATGTCTGGCCAGCAAGATGAGAGCAGCTGATTTGTTTTAATGTTTCAACTGCTTCCATTTTATCGCTTGGAAATTTTTCAATTATTCAAACACTGCCACAGAAGAAAGAAAATGGGATTCGGAGTCAAAAGAATTGGATTGAAATACCAAGCCTGACGCTTAATGACTGTGGTAGATGAAATTACTTTTCAAAAAGATTCACTCCTTCCCTCTCCACCACCTCCAAGGGAGAATTTATTTCCCTGCCCCCTTGACCTTGGGCTTGGCCACATGACTTGTTTTGGCCAACGGAACATTGGCAGACATGATGCAAGCAAAGACTTGAAATGTGCATTGTGTGGTAGGAGCTGGCTCTTGCATCTCTGTCCAGGCTAGTCACCTAGTCTGAGGAAGAGGGGAGATGTGGGATGAGATCCAGACCCAGACTGTAGTTTAGAGCCCCCCAGCCAAACCCAGCCAGGATCAGCCAACTCCAGCTAACCCACAGACACATAAGAGAGAATAAATTACTACTGTTTTAAGTTTTGGGGTAGTTTGTAATGCAACAATACCTGATCGACACATTGGCAAACATTTGATTTCAGTTAACTTGGGGATAATGATATAAACATTATAGTGTGATCTAAATGCCATCATGCTATTATCATTTTACCTATTTAAGAACAAATAGAGCGTCTCACCCCTGCTTTGGCTTCCCCAACATTTTATATGGTGACAATTCAGCTAAGCTGGGACCACAGGACTACCTTTTCCAGAATTCCCTGCCCTGTATGGTCCTGGGTTAGCATTGACCACAAGAAATTTTGTGCAAGATTTGGAAACCAGACATAAAGCAGCAGATGTGTTTTATGCTCTGAGGTTTGGAGCAGGGTCCGGGGAGCAGTGGGTGCTCACGTACATTGCTGCTGATCTGCTAGCTTGCCTTGTACTGGGGCAAATACGCAACTTCATAGGGAAGGGCACGAGCCTCCTCTGGAAGTCACCTACAGCACCAAGTTTGGAGGTGGTGAGAGACAGATGTAGGTTCCAGTTTGTATTTTCTCTTGTTCACACCAAGCTTTCTTTTCTGACTACCAGTTTGGCTGACCTATAGTAGCCTCAACGTCATATGCAGAGGTAGCAGCCTTACCTTGAGGCCTCCACTCGCTCCTGCAACCACGTAAAGTCTAATCTTTATAGCAAATCCTTCATTCCCTATCACTCATGGTTCTTCTCCTCTGGATTGAACTCTGACACACTATGGCTGAGTTCATTGTCATTTTAACCTGTAAATTCAGGCAAGCTCCCCAGATCATAGTCTTGGGTCATTTATGATGGAGCAGGAAATATGTAATATTAAACTATTGTTTATTGAGTCCTTACTATGTGCAAACACTGTGCTAACTGTTTTACATGTATTATTTCACCTAATCTTACAAAATGGCCCGAATTCCCCATGCAGGCTGGCTCACTCTTGTCATCATCACCCATTGGTAGTTCAGAGATACCTGCTAGCTACAGTAATTCCAAGTTCTGCCATTTGGGATTGTAGACTAGGACTCAATGCCCTCTGGGGTGACCGTGAGTGGCCTGTGCTGCCCTCATAGAAAGAGCCCGGAACACATGTGGTGCCCATTAAGGGTTTTCACCCTCTTTTCCCTACCCTCAGTCTTGGCAGTAATCTTTGTCCGAAGGTACAAACTCTGGCCCTATCTGAGAACTCAGTTCCCTTCTAAGAATGAGTCTGACCCCAAATCTCTGCCTAGTGACTCAGTCCTGTGACCATGGTCAGGTCTCAGATGGAAACTGCTTGCCTGTCTCAGTCCCAGGTGCTGACCCACTGAAGCAGTGCTTATGGCTCCATGACACCTATGGGCATGCCCCAGCCCTTATTAGACATTTACCTCTATTTAGAGCCACTTCATATTGAACCCTTTCCCCCATCAAATACCCCTCATTTGCCAGGACTGAGGTGGCTGTCTTCCTTGATACCTCTCCTATTTTAATTATTTTGTGAGCTAGGGGATAGTATTTTTAACTGTGATTTCTTTTCCACATGTTCTTCGTTTTAAACCCTTAAGAAGGAATAATTTGTAAAGTTTCCAGTCGAGAATGTAATCTTGAGCAATTTGCTTTGTAGGAAGTAGGGAATGGTAGGCATCCTCAAGTGGAGTTAAAGAAGTTCTAATTACTTACACCTGCATAAGCTATCACTCTCCTAAGTGACGTTTTCACGAGTCTGCTTCATTGGCATCCTTCAGGTCTCACAGAAAGTGCCAGACCTGAGAGCCTTCTGTCTACCCTTTATAAAGGCACCTGCTGCAATTACACTGTCACATCCCCTGGTTTCTTTCCTCTGGGCCCCAAGCATAGCCTGTGATCTTATTTTCTCTCTTCTAGTTGCATGTAAGCTCCAGGATGGCGGAAACCCTACTTGCCTTCCTCACCTGGTACCTAGTATGTGGCAGGCACTCCACAAACACTTGCTGAATGGATGAATCCATTGAGCAACCCCAGGAAAGAGGTACTATTATGATCTATATCTCACAGATCAGGACAGAGATACAACAAGATTAAATCAATTGTCCAGGATCACGGTGGAGGAACTAAGATTCAAACTGTGTCCTCACCAGAGCTGGGCTCTCAAACCACTGCACAAATTGGTCATTAGCCTTAAATAAAGTATCAAGCTTCTTTCCCAGCAATAAACTGAATTACTCACCTAAGAATGTCAACTATCTTTGCCTTACTGCCACTTGATTCAAAGCTATTTTTTTTCCATTAACAATAAAAATCCAGAACTGAAACCCATGTGGCCATACTGCAGAAACAGTGGCAATTTCTTTCCTATTTAAAGACTCTTTTGTCCATACCAGAAACCTACTTAGAATGTCCCAAGGCAGTTAAAGATTTCTACCTCATATAAAATCACATCAAATCCTTTTAATACAAAAAGTTGGTATTTACGGGAAGAAAAACTACATGAAAGCAAATGGATTTGAATGATCTGATTTTATTTAGCATGCCAATACAACTTATTCTAATAAATTAATATGTACAGTTATAAAAAACGTTGAGTGCTTTCTAAGAAAAATGCTTCTAAATGTGCACACTAAAGTATATGCAGAATCCTTTAAATCGTTGACTTTATAATTTTCAATCTCAGAAGTGTGGTAACATCTAGTTACCGAAGAAGAATGGAGTCTCTCTCTGTAATTCATGATTTAGATAGTTTTGAGTTTAAAAAGGTTTCAATTACCATTTCAGCTCCTGCGAGCTATGAGGCCTGAAATGACAGCACCGAGGTCTGGAAATCACCTCACCCAGTCTCCTAATTGCACAGATGAGGAATCCACCGGCCTTGCCAAAGATTACAAAGCTGGTGAGACAGCCTGGATTACAAACCAGTCTCAGAGGTGCTCTGATATGTTTGTTAAGCTGAAGAAGGCACAGATTACAGGGAACTCTAGTCATATCTGAAAGACCCTGATTTTACTTTCTGCTTAACATAGGACTCAATCCTGATGTGTTCTTTCGTTGTTAACAAATTTAGTGACTCAGTTGCTTTGGAAACAAAATCACTCCCATTATTGCAGAGGATCACTGACTGTCAGGTGCCATTTATGCTTCTATTCTCCTGGGATGTTTGGACTTGGGCAACTTGTCTTCCTGCTCTTCCATGCTCATAGCAGAACCACACTGTTCTGTTCTGAATAGAAATGCTCGTGTCTGTTCTGGTTTAAAATTCATCATCAGCTGAGGGAACGAATGTTACCGACACCAACCAAACCATCAAATTTGAGTATGGGAGCGTTCATTTCTCTTTGCTGCTCATTCCCACAAGTCAGCACATGGCCTGCCGTTCATCTGAGCCGTTACTGGTTCCAAAGCAACTGTGGATTACTTCTGGGGCAACAGGGTCCCAAATAGCAATGAGATTTCTCATCACATCAAGAATATGCCATACAATGTACCACACACTTCTGGCATACAATTTTTGGTGACTTATGATGTCTCAGCCTAATGGCTGCACATAGCCATGCTGCTGGCAGGTAAAAAAAGGCCACTCACTTGTTTTAACTTAAACCTCAAAGAGTGTGTGCAGCCCATTTATCAATCGGTAATAGAATGTTCATGTTCTGGCAAGCTATTTTTCTAATTGCAGGAGCCAAAACAACCTGCCAGACATCGGTGAGTTTTTTTAACTTTATATACACACAGCAAGATTGTGTACAGAAAGGGAATTTTTGAATTTCCATGTAAGTGATTCTAATTTTTTGCTACTCTCCCTGCTGCAGCAAAGGATGACTGATAGCCTATCTCTATATATCTCTTTTCTCCAGGGCAACATTTCTCTGTAAGAGCTAATCTTTGGTGTGGTTGCAGCTTACAGAGGCTTATTAGATGTGCCCTCGGGAGCATACTTATTTAGAATAGGCCTCTCATTTTCAAGTTCATCCTCAGCAAGTATAAGAGTTGTAGAAGCTTTACCTTTTAGGAGTTGTGGCTTGATTTTGCAGCAATGCTGAAGTGCAGCTGCCAGCCATGAAGACTATCTAGAATGCACTTTTATCAGCCTTACCTACAAACAAATAGACAAATTAGAACCCAGACACAGAAATATTATTTGCTCTGACCTGGGAAAACCACTCAAGCGTTTAATTTACTAAGTTGGCATGTTTTTCTCCTCTCATTCTGTTACCGATTTCACTTCCTTTGGCTGCTTTTCTTTTTATTCTGTCCTTATTTTCAAGGAACATGCAGAATATCGATAAGGTAACTCCATACTCTTTGACCATTTCACTTTTCGACTTTTCTTTCTTACTAACTTTTAGCTCTAGAAAAATTGTGAGCTTAGTACATTTTCTCTTTAATATCATGATCAGAACTCAATGCATGAAGTATAACGGAAATGGCTTGCTTACCAGAACATGAACTTTCTAGTAATGGCAAGCCTGAGAAGGCTGGCTTGGTGTGGGACTGAAAGTGCAGTACTGACAAGACAATGCATTTTCTCAAGTTTAGGATTGCAAAGCTGATGTCAAATTTCAAAGAAAGGGCTAATTTTAATAATCCTAATAACCAACTCAAAAATAAAATCCCTCATTTTATTAAGGAAACCTAATGACTTTGAGGTAGATGATGCTGTTATCAGATAATGAAATAAGCAGGTGTAAGATGTAAAAATAACTAAAGAAAGAAAATACTGAATTGAAATTATCTTCCTTTAAATTCAGATGGAAAATTAAGAACACTTCCAATTCAAAGTTCGAAGCACAAAATCCAGGTACGTCATGTTGTGGACTTGCTTCTTTAATTGGAGATGAACTCGGTAGCCGATGGAAAGAATCCACACTCTAACAGAACAGCAAACTCAAAAGGGTTGTCCCCATGAAGAAGCCAGCAACTATGCATTTGACTTTTTCCAGCTTGGCTCATTCCCAGATGTTCAGGATTTAGATTCCTGCAGTCTTCAGCATTTAACTAATTCTTTGTTGGTGGAAGGGGCTGGGACTGTTTCTCCACACATAAACTGATCCTGAGACAGAACAAGAAATTACATTAATCATAGAGTGTCTGTGTCACAAACGCATCAATAGTAAAGTTCCATTTTGTTACAGAATCAATCCAGCTCTGTTAATTTAGTTTTTCTATTGTTATGTCACTTCATCCTTGTTCAAAGAGTCAATGTCGGGAACAGAATTATAATCTTAAAAGTGCATCAGTTTTTAGTCTTGAATTCCTATTTAATATAAAGCACCTTATCTTATAAACAAACATGCTCATCTTCACTACAAAGCATCTACTTCCCAGGAATCACATTTATAAAGACATGTCACACCTTTTAAGTTTCCGTATTAATTACTACGTACACTAAAACTTCTCCACTTCAATATTTGGCCATTCAAATTCCTGTCTTCTTCAAAGTAATTACTCCTTCCAACTAAAAGGGATAGCTCTTTATGCGTTTCCCAGCATACATAATCTGTAATGTTAGCTACCTTGTAAATGAAGTTCAATCTCTGATTATTTATCCTGGCGTATGTCAGCTACCACAAGAAATCTGCCCCCAGGTCACCCTCATCTCCTGCAGTCTGACCCCAGAAGGATCAGCCTGTAGTCCATCCCTCGCACTCTCTCACTCCTACCAGCACCCAGAACCCGCTCACTGTGCTCTTTGGAATCTATGGTCCATCATTAACACAATACTCCATATTTTCAACCTCTTCTTTAAAATGTCCCTGTGCCTTCTTGCTCTAAAGTAGTGCTTCTCAAAAGGTGGTAGGAGGGGGGCATTGATTTTCTCTTCAGGGGACATTTGGCAATGCCTGGAGATACTCTGGATTGACACAACTGGGCAGGGGTGAGGGGTGCTACTTGCATCTAATAAGGAAAGGCCAGGGATGCTACTAAACACCCTGCAATGCACAGGACAGCCTTGTACAACAAACAGTTATTTAGCCCAAAATGCCCATAGTACTGAGAGTGAAAAAAGGTCATCCCCGAAGGGCAGTTTTCTCTGTAACCCTTCAAGAGCTCTGTGTGCTCTTAGGGCCCCAGTACCACAGAGACTGGAGGAGTGGCTGGTCGCTCCTTTCTGCCACCATTCTCTTTTCCTCTTTGAAACCCACCCACTTTAAATATAATCATGAGACTGTATCATCAGTGCTCCTCTCTGTTGCTGTCACCTACCCACCTTGAATCCCTCATTCCAACCCCTCTGGGACCTCCACTGTATTTATCCTACCCCCTTTCCAGCGCCCTTCACTCCCTTAATGTTTTCTTTACCTACTTTAAATTCCATGGTCAATTATCATAATCGCTCTGCTCTCACTCCTTCCTAATCCCTTGGCAAAGCCACAAGCCTGGTTAAATCTAACTTCCTGTGTCTCCATTCACCCGTGTAGCTGAATATCTACCACCTTAAACCCTCTCGATCCTCTGTCACCACAGTTACTGTCCCATGTCTCTGTTCCCCTTGAAAGAAATGTCTACACTTGCTGCTTCCTAGTCTTCTCTCATCCTCTCCAACAAGCTTTACACCATCAGGCTCTGTCTCCATTATTCCATTGAAACAGCTCTTATCACCGTTACAAATGGCCTCCCCGTTAAAGCCCACAGTTAACTTTCAGTTGTCTTTCTATAGGAGTGGCGTCTGACAAGGCTCATCACCTGCTCCACCTCTTCTCATCTGGCTTCCAGGAGACGACACTGGTGGTTTTCCTCCTTCCTCAGCGGTTGCTCCTCTGCAGCCAGCTTTGCTGACTCCTTGCTTCCCTCCCAGACCTTTATATGTTCGAGTGTCTCAACTCAGTCCTTTCTTTTGTCCATCTCTATCTTCATTCACAGCCCTGGTGATCTCATCCAATCTCACGGCTCTAAGTGCTATCAATATGCTGACACTCCCAAATTTACAGCGCCGGCCAATCTCTCTTTGAACTCCAGACTTGCATATCCAAGTGCCTCCACACTCACTCCACTTGGATGAAAAACAGGCCTCTCAAGCCTCGTATGTCCAACTCCCACCTCACACCTGCAGGCACCTCCCCATCGGTTGATGGTAAATCCATCCTCCCAGTTATGAAAGCCACAAACGTTGAAATCATCCTTGACTCCTCTCATATCCTACATCTATCGGTAGGAAAATCCTTATCCTTTAAAGTGTATCCAGAATCCAACCACTTTTCACTACCTCCATTGCTGCAGCCTGGTCCAAACCACCCATCTCCTCCTTTGATTAGTCTAACAGCTTCCTAACTGGTTTTCCTGCATCTATCCTTGCTCCCTCAGTCTACTCTGAACACAGCAGCCAGAATCACTCTTTCAAAACTTAAGTTGGATCATGGTACTCCTTTGTCCAAGAATCTTCTGATGGTTCCCAATATCATTCACCACAAAAGCCAGAATCCTTACAGTGGCCCACAAACACCTTTGTGATCTGCCCCACTCCACTAACTTCATGTTGGACAGCTCTCACCCTCATTCATTCTGCCAGGTCACACTGGCCTCCTTGCTGCTCCTTGATAAAACCAGGCATGTTCCTGCCTTAAGCCCTCTTCACTGCAAGTCCCCTTTGCCAGACTGCTCTTACCTGGCATAGTCAGGGCTCCCTTCCTCATCTCTTTCAGTCTTTGCTCAATCAGGCCTGCCATGATCGCCCTATTTAAAACCGCCACCTCTTCGCATACCAGCACTCTTGATCTCCCTTACCCTGTTCTCTTTTTGTTCCAGAATACATTATAATAGAAGAATAAATCAGTAAACTTCTAAACTATAGCAGGCTTCTCTTGTGGGGCTAAGTGCCTTATTCCCACCTTCCCTATACTCATTTTAAAGTTCATCCTTAAGAATGTTAAGCTCTGTTACATGTCAATTATATCTCAAAAAAAAAAAAAGAAAAGAAAAGAAAAAGGAATGTTTCGCTTCTTACTTAAGACTCTATTCAAAGTACTGACCAAAAGTTGGGGTGGGGAGTAATAACATTTATTTGTTTTCCATTGTCAGTACCCTTGGGTGAAATACAATAGGACAACCAAAGACTAAAATGAAATTGTAAAATCGCAACTATGACATATCTCAAACAAGATACTGCGAAGTCCTATGCATAAGTCAGTAAGAAATACTACACAATTCCCTTCTATATATAGAAATATATATATTACATCTTGTATAAATAAAAGAAATACTACACAGTTCCCTTCAAAATAAGTTTAGGAGCAATGAACAATTTTAATTACTTATTAAATAAAGGAGGAATAAAGACTGTCAATTAACTTTTAGAATTTTTTCTATTTAGTAAGTAATAATTTTCACTAGATACACAGCAATTTTTCTTATTGACCTCTCCAAAGCTAAAACGAGTTAATTAATTTGAGCTTTTAAAATTTCAATTTACAATATGTCTGTTCATTAATGGTTTTTAAAATCTGTTTTAAAAAACAGCCTTTTCCTAACACACTGTTAGGAAACATTCTTCTGCACTTATCACAGACAGACTGCTCTAGGTCCTTGCCTCAAAACTCTCCCCCCATTTTTTCAAATCCGACCCCTTACTTTGTCATAAATCACTTTGATAATGAGAGAGCAGCTAGGACATGTTGCCACATCTTCCCCGTTCTCCAAATCTTCCTGTAACAAAATCAAACACCGTGTGGTCAGCACAGTCTTCCTACTGCAATCTCCTCCTCCCAAACCCGCCCAGCCCTATAGGCAAGCTCCTTTGAGGCCTGCCTCCCCATAAGGTACGTGAGGGCCAAAAGGGCCTTCTGAGAAAAATGCCAACCCCACGTTTCCCTGGAAGCGTCACCTGGGGTAAAGACCCAGGAAGGTTAGCCAAGGTTCAGGCGCCTCAAAACCCCAGGGAAGACAAAAACGCGTCCCTTCCTCCAAAGAAGCATCCCAGGAAGTGGGACCCTAAGTGGAGGAGGATGGCGAGAAGACAGATGCTCCCCCGCCATCCACACCCACCCCCCGGGTCTGACTAAAGGCCAGAACCATGTGCCCGCTGACAGCTCAGAGTATCAACTTTGGGGGATTCAGAAACAGGATAAAAAGGGCGTGGATAACTAAGAGTGTCACGCGCGACGGAACGGCGGAAGGTAGACGGCAGCGACAAGGCGCCTGCTCCGATGAGTCGCAGGGCGGGAGTCGGAGGTTACCTTGGTGATGCAGAAATTATCCCCGCACGGGCAGGGGTAGAAGTACGTCTCCGAGTCCTCGTCATATTGGAAGTCCTCGATCTCCACCTCGTCGTGAAACACCGCCATTGTCCCTGGAGCCCGCAGACGTCTATGGCTCTGCCGGCCCACAGCGGCCCCTGTAGGTCCAACGTTGCGGGCGCCGGCCCAGGCGGGCGTTGTCACCACGCACCGGCGCAGGAACGACCGCTTCCGGCGCACAGACAATGACGTAGCTCCGGACTTGGAGGCCAAATGGGTGACCGGGTAGCGGTCACCATGGAGATGCCTGAGCTACGGGGCGGAGACGCTGGAAGACGGCGTTCGCAGCTCAGTGTCGTCGCGCGAGGCTCCGCCCATCGGGCGGCAGCGACCAATAAGACGTGGGGATGGCTCGCGCTGCTTCTACGTCACGTCGGCGACGCCGGAAGCTCTCAGGAGTAGGTGGCCGAGTTTGGCCCGGATCTGTGAGCCAGCTCCTCGCGGTGGCGGTGAGGAAGCCCCTTACTGTGGCTGTCGTTGCCCTGCCTCACGCCCGCGGACCTTAGAGAGGCCTTAACCTGACCCCGCGGAAGGCCGCAGCAGGCCACGGTAGCATCGACTCGGCCCTCGGCGCTCCTGGGGAAAGGGGGACGCGGGAGCAGCTCAGCCTCCCGGACCTCCCTCCCTGCCTCCTAGTGAGGACGAAAAGCTCCTTTGGCATTTTGGTTCACCGAGTGACCTTGAGCTCAGGCCGACGCCTAGCTTGTAGTTCCTGGCTGCACTCGGCTGTTCAGGTACATCCCCGCCTCTGCCTCACCCCAGATTATCTTCACATGCCCTAAATTGTGTCGCTGAAAGGACCCACACCTGGAAGGCAGAGATAGAGTTCTAGTCCCGTGTTTCCCAGGCGTATAACGTTAACTACAGTGATTTGTAGTAGTAATAACATCAGCTTTTATTATTGGGAGTTTGCAGTGTACCGGGTATTGCGGTAGGTATAATTCTCCCACCAACCCTGGGAGTTTAGATATTACTCCATTTTGTTAACCTTCAAACGAAGACACACAGAGTTGGGTATCTGGACCAAGAGCACAGACCTAGGAAAAGAAGAGCCTGTCTGTCCCCAAAGCCCGGGAACAAATTACTTAATTTGTATGAACCAGTTTCCTCTTTGTAAAAGGAAGAGCATCAGCTGGTAGGGTTATCACCCTGAGGCCTGTGTATACCTTACAGTGAAATACGAATAAAAGGTGGTTTGTATTGAACGCAGTGTTGGTGCCCGATTTGGTACAGCTGGATTCCATGGGGTATTGCTCCATTACTAGGCATTTATTCACATCCTGGTGGAGAACGCATGCTGTGCAATGACAAAAGCGCTACAGAACTGCAAAGCCGAAGATCCGGGCTCAGAATCTAGCTAGTTTCTAACTAGCTCTGGGAGCTGGATGTTTACATTTTTTGGGTCTTATTTCCTTTTCTGACTTAAAAAGCCTTGGATTGGAGATGATTTACAAGATATCTTCAGATCTAACATTCTACTTTTGCGTGGAAATTATGAGTTTTATGTAGTTCAGCAATCACATGTACCGTGTTTATTTTCTATTTAGATGTATACATAACATGCACTTGTGTACACATTCCTATGCTTATTTATGTACACAGACTCAAATATTTGCATGAAGTTGCCAATTTTGTGCTCACTGAAGTGAAGCTCCACGAAGTTTAGCTCTTTTAAGGCTTGAAAACCTAACGGCAGAGAAGTCTGAAAGGAAATCCAGAAGTTACATTAAAGGAGTTCATAGAGGACGATTTCAGAGGCCTCGCAAACACTCCATTTTGTATAGTTGGAAATCTACCCAGCCCTTGGGAAACTTGTGTTAAACTTCTCGAGGGTTGACTGGAATGATTCTGATCTGTCTGAGCAAAACCTACACAGTTCAGTGGCTGCTCCCTGTCTGTCTGTAGACACACATACTTCCCAGGTAGCCTCTTGGAGACAAGAGGACAGGAGAGAGTCTCCAGCGTCAATTCTGTAGTCCCAGTGATCATTTTGAGGTTGGGAACCATATTTAGTTCTCCAGTGCTTCTGAGCATATGTACCTACAAATTAAAGAGGAGCCATTTTCAAATGTTCAGAAATGGGTGCAGTCATATTTGGCTCATGGAAGTATAAATTGGTAGACCTTTTAGAAAGCAGTTTGGATCTGTCAAAAACAATTTGCTGCGGCCATTCTGGTGGCGTAGTGGTTAAGTTCACGCACTCCACTTTGGCGGCCTGGGGTTTGCAGGTTTGGATCCTGGGCAGAGACCTAGCTCTGCTCATCCAGCCATGCTGTGGTGGCATCCTGCATAAAATAGAGGAAGATTGGCACAGATGTTAGCTTAGCGACAATCTTCCTCAAGCAAAAAGAGGAAGATTGGCAGTACGTTAGCTCAGGGCCAATATTCCTCATTAAAAAAAAAACAAATAATTTGCTGAGAAATCTTAAAATCTGAGGTTAACAGTCCTAAAAGTTACAGGGATTGTTAGGTAGTTTTCCTTCATAATTTCTTTGTAATTTTCCAACTTTTCTTTGAGTATATATTACCTAAAATGGAAAAAGAAAAACTAATGAACCAGTTAATAATAATTGACACTATGTGCCAGGCACTTGTACCAAGTGTTTCACATGCGTCATGTCTTTAAAACAGCCTTCTGAGTATAGGTATCATTAATTCCATCTTCAACATTGGGAAACTTGAAGTTTAGAGGCCAAGAAACTTGCCAAGGGTGGCAAAGCTGATAATTGGCAGTAGCTATGGCAAGAACTGAGATCTGTCTGACCTCCAAACTTAGGCTCTTAATTAACTACGATGCCGTTTGTGATGAGATGGTGCTTGAAGTAGAGCTGGATTAAAACAGTGCTGGAGCTCAGCAGACTGGAGATTTTCCGCTGGAGCAGTGCTGGTTCCCTTGAGACCTAGATTTGGGAGTCTCCTTGGCCTTCCATAGTGCTTTCACCCTACCGTCTGTTGGCCATCCTGCTTGTCTGGCCTGAGGTAGTTCCCTGTGTGGTTCTACCCAGTTTGAGTTCATACTGTGCTGGAGAGAGTGAAACCGTAGCTGCACATGTGATGCAGGCTTTTTATTCCTCCCAGCACTTTTAAATAAAACATTACAACGACTACTAAACTTTGCATTTATTCCTAAAAGGGAATTGGAAACATTTATAATGAGACATTTTTGGACCCTGAGAGCATGACAAAAGCAGATTTACTAGTTACTAAAGGGTAACTTGAGATCAGATATTTATGGTTTGGGTTTTTTAAAAAAATTTTTTTTATTAAGTTCATAATAGTTTACATCAATGTGACATTTCAGTTGTATATTGTTTCTTGACTGTCACCACATAAGTGCTCCTCTTCACCCCCTGTGCACATCCCCCAACCCCCTTCCCCTGATAACCACTGAACTGATTTCTTTGTCCATGTATTTGTTCATATTCCACTTGAGTGAAATCATCTGATGTTTGTCTTTCTCACTCTGGCTTATTTCGCTTAGCATAATTCCCTCCACGTCCTTCCATGTTGTTGCAAATGGAATGAATTTGTCTTTTTTATGGCTGAGTAGTATTCCATTGTATATATATATGTATATATATATACATATACCATATGTTTATCCAATCATCAGTCGATGGGCACATGGATTGTTTCCATGTCTTGGCTATTGTGAATAGTGCTGCAGTGAACATAGGAGTGCATATGTTACCTTGGATTGTTGATTTCAAGTAGTTTGGGTAGATACCCAGTAGTGGGATAGCTGGGTCATATGGTAGTTCTATTTTTAGTTTTTTGAGGAATCTCCATACTGTTTTCTGTAGTGGCTGCATCAGTTTGCATTCCCACCAGCAGTGTATGAGGGTTCCCTTTTCTCCACACCCTCTCCAACATTTGTTATTTTTAGTCTTAGTGATTATAGCCATTTTAACAAGCGTAAGGTGGTATCTTAGTGTAGTTTTGGTTTGCATTTCCCTGATGATTAGTGATGTTGGACATCTTTTCATGTGTTTCTTGGCCATCTGTATATCTTCTTTGGAAAAATGTCTGTTCATGTCCTCTGCCCATTTTTTGATCTGGCTGTTTGTTTTTTTATTGTTCAGTTGTGTGAATTCCTTATATATTATGGAGATTAACCCCTTCTCAGATATATGATTTGCAAATATTTTCTCCCAATTGGTGGGTTGTCTCTTTGTTTTGATTCTAATTTCTTTTGCCTTGCAGAAGCTCATTAGTCTGATGAACTCCCACTTGTTCATTTTTTCTTTTATTTCCCTTGTCTGAGAGGACATGGTATTTGAACAGATCCTTTTAAGTTTGATGTTAAAGGGTGTACTACCTATATTATCTTCCAGGAATTTTATGGTTTCAGGACTTATCTTCAAGTCTTTGATCCATTTTGAGTTTATTTTTGTGTATGGCATGAGATAATGGTCTACCTTCATTCTTTTGCATGTGGCTGTCCAGTTTTCCCAACACCATTTATTGAAGAGACTATCTTTTCTCCATTGTATGTTCTTGGCACCTTTGTTGAAGATTAGCTGTCTGTAGATGTGTGGTTTTATTTCTGGGCTTTCAGTTCTGTTCCATTGATCTGTGTGCCTGTTTTTGTACCAATACCATGCCGTTTTGATTGCTATGGCTTTGTAGTACATTTTGAAGGCAGGGATTGTGATACCTCCAGCTTTGTTCTTTTTTCTCAGGATTGCCTTAGCAATTCGGGGTTTTTGGTTGCCCATATGAATTTTAGGATTCCTTGTTCTATTTCCATGAAGAATGTCATTGGGATTCTGATTGGGATTGCACTGAATCTGTAGATTGCTTTGGGCAGTATGGACATTTTAACTATGTTTATTCTTCTGATCCATGTGCATGGGATTTCTTTCCATCTCTTTATGTCATTATCAATTTCTTTCAGTAATGTCTTACAGTTTTCATTGTATAAGTCCTTCACTTCCTTGGTTAAATTTATTCCTAAATACTTTATCCTTTTAGTTGCGATTGTAAATGGAATTGTATCCTTGAGTTCTCTTTCTGTAAGTTTGTTATTAGAATATATAGAAAAGCAACTGATTTTTGTAAGTTGATTTTGTACCCTGCAATTTTACTTTAGTTGTTAATTATTTCTATAATTTTCTGATGGATTCTTTGGGGTTTTCTATATAGAAGATCATGTCATCTGCAAACAGCG